AATGTCAGCAACCAAGAGCAATAGGGGAAGAAATACTGTACGAAATCCATAATGCCATGGCAACTAGTGTGATGTGATGAACACCTGTTTATAAAGTCAGGTGAAAGGGGAACTGAGAACAGAAGGGGGCCAAAGAGCAGCCAGGCGTGTTCACCAGTTAGGAGGAAAACCATTTCAAGGAAGCGCATGCAGAAATGCTTGGGTGGAGGCTTCTGGCTGAGTGTCTATGACTGTCTGGCTATGGGGTTTTGCACAGTTCTGAGAACTAAACACCGAGCCCGAGCCCCCAAACCTCCTGGGCACAGGTCCCACTCGGAACAGAAAGTGACTGTGCGCATGGCCATTTGCATTTAGAGAAGCGGTGTAACTTCAACTTCAGCTATTAAAATTGGATGTCAGTAGGTCAGAGCCACAGAAAGGTCTAAGAATGCTTTGTCTCTCCACGCCCAGGTGATGCAGTGTAAAGCTGTCTCCAGGAGTTGGGGGAGACAAGAAAACCCCACTGACTCTTAATGCTTAATAGAGCCAATGAAGGCAGGCAATGAGCCAGGCTCTGCATTTACCTTGGCAAATGTACTATTTCTTTCTAGAGTTCTTTTAATTTCGGGGCGAGAGGAAGAAAAGAGAATGATGTGAAACATAATGAAAGTTTTCACATCCTCTCACAAGAAAAAGGAATAAAAGGGAAGAGGACAGGGGGGAAGAAAAAAAGAAATGAGCATGCATGCCTTAATTAACGCCTGTGGGGAGGTGCAGCAGGAAAAATGTAGTATTATACAGTGGGTCTTAACCAGGGGCGACTTTTGTGCCCCCGGGGACATTTGGCAATGACTGGAGACATTTCTGATTGTCACAGCTAAGGGGAAATACTATTGATATGTACTGAGTTGAGGCAATAATACACAGGCCAGCCTCCCACAACAAAGTACCTGACCCAAAATGTCGCTAGTGTGGGACATTTCGGAGTTGGGAGAAACCTGTACTATGAAGATATGCTTCCCTGAATTTCAAAGGTTTACACAATTGCCTCTTATGCAATTTATGCTTCTTCAAAGCAAGTTCCCACTGCAGGTCACGAGGTACCATATACTCAAACCAAACATTTTTAGACTCAATTATAATGATTTCAAAAAGAAATGCCTATCAAGTTAAGAAAAAAGTATTACTAATCAATAAAATGCCAGGATCTTTGGAAAAATCTAATGCTTTGGGATCGGTGCCAAGGATTCTGAGAGAGAAGGAAAGGGAGAGAATATGAGAATATTCTTGGCAAGATGAAACAGATGATTAAGTAATCTAAATTCTTCTAAAATGAATAAAACAGGGCAATGCTCTTGTATTTTTAGTTAAGTGAAAAGGAAGAAAACTTTGACAAAAACAAACTACAGAAACCAAAACCTATACAGAAATCTACACACAGGCCAGTCACTGAACATAGGTTATCTGAACGTGAAGAAAAGCTAAAAGGCTGCTTTATTAGCAAACATTAACAACATGTCAAATAGAAATTTGAAATTATTAGCCATGTGAGATGTACTGTCATTAAAGTTTTATAATGACCACAACGTTGGAGAACTCCTGTGACAAGGTCCTGAATAAAACAACTTGGGGTTACCTGAGTTACTAAAGTTGTATTAGCAAATCCTGTTGACATAACCTTCAGAATATATCTGGAATCTACGTTTTTACTCCCTCCACTGCTACCACTCTAGTCCAGCCAGGCAGGACCATCTCCTGTTTCCCTGCTTCCACCTGTGAGCCCCTGGTTCACAGTCTGTTCAAAACCCTCCAGGGAATCCTCATTTCTCTCAGAATAGAAGTCAAAGGCCCTCCCCTCCTTTCCTCTCTAACCTCATCTATCTATCTACTCTCCTCACGGCTCAATTCACCCCAGGAACACTGGCCTCCTTGTTATTCTGCAAATAGGTCTGTTATGCTCCTGCTTTAGTGCCTTTGCACTGGCTGTTCCTTTTACCTGGAACGCTCTTCCTTTGGATATCAGTCAGCCCACCTTCCCTCCTCCTGTGAGTCCTTGCTCAGATGTCATCTTCTGAATGTGGCCTGCTCTGACCACCCTGCTTAAAATTGCAACCCCTTCTCTAAGCAGTCCCTATCCCTTTGGCCGCTCTGTTTCACCTGCAGTCCCTTTCACCTCCTATCCTACTATATAGTTGACTTATTTATGCTCTTGGTTAGGGTTGGTCTCCCTGAACTAGAAAGTCAGCTTGCTCCATGGGGGCAGTGATTCTGTCTGTTTTGTTCATTGACAGAGCTCTGGTTCTTAAAATAGTGCCCCCCACACAGGAAGCACTCGATGCATAGTTTTGGATGAATGTCTTAAGAAAAATTTACCCAAATTCAAAATTACTGATTAGCTAAATGTGAGTATTCCATTTACCCATACAAAACATACAGATTTCAGGCACTGAAATGTAACGAATGTTAACATTAATGTGTGCTCTGTGTTGAGTCCACTTGCCAACTGGGTGATGGTACTTTGTCGGGACGTTTCTTCTTACCTGCAGTTTGAGAATTACTTCTATCTTCCCTTTCTCAACACATTTCTGGGTGTTTCCTCAAAATTATTTGGTATGTGCCTTAGGGATAAGAAACTAATAAAATCCAATGCAAAACTAATTTTGAGCCTTTCCTTGAAATGCCCTCTTGTCTTCATGTAACTTCCCCGTGACTCAAGACCAGGCTCAAACATGACCTCCATAAAGTTTCTCCGGCTCGGTCTTTTAATGCTATTTCCCACCCTCCACCTTGGACAAGAATTATTTGTTTTGCTTGTCTGTAAAGATGGCCACAGACAAGTTCTTATCCTTGTGCACATATGTCACACACACCTCCAACCAGAAGGCACAATCTATTTTTCCACCTCTTGAATCCAGGCTAGTCTTGTAACCTGCTGACTAACATAATGCAGAGAACACGACAGTGTCAACTTCTGGCCTAGGCTTCAAGAGGCCTGGCAACTTCCACCTTTGCTTGTTTGGAGCCCTGAGACACCGTCCTGCTGGAGAGGCGGCCCCACGAAGACAGAGAGAGAGGGAAGAAGGAGGGAGGGAGGAATACCCTGAATGAGAGACTACAGAGAGGGCCCAGAAAGCTCCTAGCTGTTCTGGTCACTTCAGCAGACATGCCACAAGAGGGAAGCCTATGTGGGTACTAGCCATGCTGCCTCAGCCCATAGTCTGCCAAACAGAATCAAGCAATCCCCATCAAGCTTTGCCCAAAACTACAGAACTGTGAGCAAATAAATGGCAATTGCTGTTTGGAGTCACCAAGTTTAGCTGTGTGTTGATCCGCAGCCATCGGTAACAGATACACTGCCTCATCTCCCTACTGACACCATCATAATACCTGTAGGGCTCCAAGCACAACATTCTGCATGAAGTAGGCACTCGAATATTTGTTGAATAAATCAATCAGAAGGTAAATGAGAAGCTGAAGCATGACATTCAAATATAACTACTTTGTGATTTTATTTGGTTTGGGATTATCATATCAAATACCATGACTAATCAAAAGCTGACTGTATTATTGAAAGTATTATAGTACAGTATGTTGTCAATCATTATGTATTATATGATGTTGATATAATTACTCTTAAAGAACAGAATTCAAAATAAAATTGCCTCTTGAGCAAAAGTGTTTCTAACGCAGTGCTATTATATGAACTAAGAATCTGTTTATATATTTTAAGTTTTCAAAATGTCATTTTCATCATCTATTTTATAACATATACAAGGAGATATACTTTACACTTTATATATGCATTTTCTTATATTAATTAAATGCAGAAGAGTAACACAGCCTGCTACTATCATTGACAATTTCCCTTTAATTTTTCTTACACTTCTTATTCTCTTTGTTTGCATAACTGAAAAATACTTTAGTGTTAATGTATCCAATGGGTTGTTCAGTGCTGAGTATTGATAATAATAAATTTCCTTTTCCTATCACCACATTTGAAAAGAGTAAGATATTTTACAACTAATGTGTATTGTGTATGTTTCTCCAATGATTTTTTTCATTTGCTATGGTAACATTCCACTAGACTGTTTTGGAATTGCTCATGCTTTATCTCAGCTTATAACCACAAGAATTTTAGTTAAAATTTCCCAAACGTTTTAGACAATTTAACTAAACTCTACTTCATTTTCTTAACCATTAAAATATAGTGAAGAAGCCAGGCCTCTGATAATATGTTTTGAGGGAAGGAGAGCCCCATGTCTGTAGATGCTGTGTGTTAGAGAGAGGCCAGTAACAAAATACCAGAGAGAGAAAGTGGACAATAGAGCTAGAGAGACCTCAGGGGCTCTTAGCGATTCGGGGCCTTGGAAGGGGCTGGGCATCAGGAGGAAGGCCCACTGGTTTACCTTCTGGCCTGCCTCCATGTTCTGCCTGACACCATTATGAGCCAGGGACTGACAGTTCTCATGAACTTGATACTGGGAGCAAATAGGCAGAAAGACTGAATAATGGTAATACGTACATTCCTAAGGGTGCAAAACTGTATTACGTTTTTAATTATGATTTCAGACTATGTTAAAAAACTATGTGCAAAAAAATGGTGACTATTTATTCTGTATTGCAACACTACAAAAATATAAGTATATGATGAACTTTTACTATATAAACCAAATAACCAATATAAACCAACCCTCTCCCACAATTAACTTAGGATATTGTTTGGTTCTTCCTATTTGTCGGATTTTTTCATTTCTCTCTTACACACGTAATGGCAAAAGAGGAATAAAAGAATTTCAGAATACATGTACATTTTAATAATAAGGAAACTGAAATGATAAAAGTGTTCCTGTTAAGAATGAGTATGACTCTTCAAATATAAAGTAGTTAAATAAATGTTCATTTGGAAGTAAAATTAACCTTAAGATGCTCTCTATAAGAACATTAAAGAAACACTTCTGATCATTATCCGTGTCATCAGTTTCTCTTCATAAACATTAAAGTTAGTGATAAAAATGACTTACCTTCACATCCCTGTGAATTATGTTATTATCATGACAATAGCGTAGAGCTTCCAGTATCTGTCTCATGTAATGACTGTAGAAAAACAAAAGAAATGTGAAACTGTAATAAAAATTTTTTATTTTTAAAACTTTATATACAGTGGCCCTAGTTTGTAACTCCCACCTTCATATTCACTGCCCATGGACACTTTTCCTTTGAGTAGACAAGACTGGTGGATGGTGAGGCTTAATAATGAAAAAGTTGGCAGACCCATGAGTTTATAAGCTTCATGAAGAAATAATGTGTTCTATATTTTCTAAGATAACCCAGTCAAAAGAATTTCATACAGTTCATAAGTAAAATAGCTCCGCAAATGAAAAATTCAAGCTGAAAACATGGGGCGGGGGGGCAAGGGGGGATGCAAGTCTCCGACCCTCGGTTAATTGTACTTAGTTACCGCAGATTGCTATTAAGTGAACAGCGCTCAGAGGGACACCATGGATTCTGACTAAAGGGGTGGGAGTCTTTTATCTGCCAGCAGAGGCTGGCTCTCTGCCTTATTTCCATTTAGCTTTGAGGACAAACAAGAGGAAAGAACCTCTTTATGTGTACAATTTCTTTTTGTGATGTAATCAAGTTTTAGCTGGGGCATCTTTTAACAAGGCAGAGTTATTCTGGGCTGAAATCCTAGGAAGTCGGACTCATCACATGGCCAGCAGGGGTCTGCAGGGGTC